AGAACCAGTCACACAGTTCATGACTGGACACATTCCATTCCACACACACATAACCTTATGGCAAAGGTGTGAGACTTAGTGTTACAGTTTTTGTTCTGCATTGTGGGATAAGATTGCTACTATAATATTACAAAATATAATGGGGCATATACTGCAGCCTGAATACTAAATATCAAACACTTTTAATAATATAATATTAAAAAATATGAGTATGTATTAGAATCAAATTTTAGACATTAAATACTTCATAAAGGAATTATAACTAATAACGATAGGAAAGTTAGCATTTTAGCATAAATATTTAATCCAAAACATAGCAATTAAAATGATTGCCATTTATGCAAAAGTGCCTTCCATGTGTATTCAAAATGATTTGATGTGTATTATTTACTATTCACATGTTACACCTCTGCAAGCTAGGTTCCCATTGTATAGATGAGAAAATGGAGGCTCAGAGAAAGAAATTTACTCACAGTCACACAACAACCAACTTTGACAGCTGTATTCAGAAGAACCCAAAGAAAATAAGTCAGCTAATTATATTTTAATGTAAGCTAATGATGATAAACAACTATGAATCATAATAAGAATTATTTTCTTTTCTAGAAAATAGACTATTTTTTTAGTTCGATATGATTTTATTTAAAAATGTGTACAGCTGAAGGAGGGATCTGGTCTTTCATTAAAACAAACCAATTTTCACAGTATATATTTGGCCATTTTAGCTTTGTAGTGAATAATAACAGAAAAGGAAGTTTCTGTTCAAGATCCTCACTCCAGCTCGCTCAGCCACATGCTTGGCAAGATGACACATTTCCTGGTCTGAAGCTCACAGCCAATCTTCTCACCCAAGTGGAATACCAGTTCTTCTCCAGGCACATAGACACACACACACGAGGTCTTATTTTCACCACTCTACACAGGGCCTTGAGAATCCTTAATTCTAAAGTTGGGAAAAACGTGAAAGGTTTCCTTAACTCATTGTCTGCGACAAATCCAACTACCTTTTAACTCTTAACAATTCCAAGTATAAAATACTTGAAATTTATGAGATGCTCCTTAGACTATTTTTTTCAAGCAGTGTTAGGTTATCTAATAATGCAAAGTTGAGTGAAAAATAGAGAGTTGCCATATACCCCTGCTTCTACACACAACCTCCCCCACTATCAATAACCTGCACCACAGTGGTCCATTTGTTACAATCAATGAACCAACATTGACACATTATCATCACCTGGTAATGTCCGTATCTATATTAAGATTCTCTTTTGGTGTTGTACATTCTATGGGTTTGGATAAACGTATAATGACATGTTCCCACCATTAAAATATCAAACGGAATAGTTTTGCTGCCCTGAAAGTCTTCTCTGCTCTGCCTATTCAAAGTTATTCTATTTTGAATATTATCTCCTATATTATTTTTTAAAACCTTGTTACATCTCAGTTTCCTTAATTGTAAAATGAGAGTTAAAACTAAATTATCCCTTTGCTTCCTGCAAAGATATTATGGATGTATTTGTAAATAGTAAAATCTCTCTAATCTACAGAATTTTGAAAATAATACGGATTCAGTTTCTGAAGTCTCCTGTAACTTATTTGTTATTAGCTCTAATTCTGTGAAATTCAAAGGAACCCTTATGACACGCTGTCAACAATTCAGGGTTACAGGCCTGACTCTTCCATAGCAGTCGCAGGAGGAAGCTGAGCCCACCTCTAGAAAGTGTGGTCAGTGAATTCAATCAAAATTAATAATGGCAAATATTAAAGATGCCATATTCTCTCAAGGCCTTAAATTATATATCACTCTCAAGACAGATTTGACTTAAAGACAGAATTAGTTACATGAAAATAAATAATTTCACTTCAAGCATGGAGTTAATAACAGGGTCAGATCGAGCTGTAGCTAATCACTTATGCATAGCCAGCTCAACTAAAATCTGCTAAGCAAATTGTATGTAAGAAACATGGAAAATAGGAAAATGAGAAAATAGGAACTTGTAACAAAGTACAGTCCTTGCTCTTAGAGATCAAAGACAACACATGAGTAAATATGTATTCCATTAAAGTACGCCAAACTTTAAATAAAATATGTTAACTGTTGGAATAAAGACTATTTTCCCTTAATAGGTGATACTCAGCAAGACTTGAAAGTTGGGTGCCTCCAATTAACAGGACTAATGTAAACTACTACACGAATTGAATAAAGCTATAAGTATAATCCCAAAATGGGTCCTGGAACTATCGCCCCAATGAAATCATAAATCCTCTCCCACCTTTCTGGCCCACGGTTGTCTAGTGTGTGCATTCCCTTTTATTGGTCTTATCTTTGAGGCAAAGCAATTACATTTTGGGCAGGATTAACTCAATTACTAATCATGAAAACCAGTGCAGTGCTAAACTGTTTATTCCATTATCCAGCCGAAGAAAATTATTAAAAATATTTTTTGTGTGTGTGACAGAATCTCACTCTGTTACCCAGGCTGAGGTGCAGTGGCGTGTGATCTCGGCTCGCTGCAACCTCCGCCTCCCGAGTTCAAGCAATTCTCATATCTCAGCATCTCCAATAGCTAGAATTACAGGCACACACCACCATGCCTGTCTAATTTTTGTATTTTTAGTAGAGACGGGATTTTACCATGTTGGCCAGGCTGAGCTCGAACTCCTGACCCCAAGTGATCCACCCGCCTCAGCCTCCCAAAGTGCTGGGATTAAAGGTTTGAGCCACCACTCTTGGCCTAAAGACAATTTTATCTAGAACAATCATGGTGGCCACCCTTGATCAGCTCATGTACATCATTTTGAATGAACCTTTACATTACAGGTAGAGAGTGCCTAACTTGGTATTTTTCAGCTTTCTTTTTTTTTCATTGTCATTCACCTAAGGAGTATTTTAGGCTTTATTTTCCCTAACTGGCCTTTCCAATGAAATTTTAACACCTCAGACATTCTGTGTATCGCTGAAATCTATTGCATATCTGTGTTTTATACTTGAGACAAGTGTTAATTTGGTTAAAATCAACAAAAACTCTAAAAGCCAATTTCCATCCCCTTAGAGGCAATATTGCTTCTGTTGAGAATGCACGGGATAGATGAACTAATTAGTAGCCAAGAAGAAAGCATACAATATCTAGACACTTCTCTACTATAGCACTGTGTATACTCACTCATAATATGAATCACAAAACCACTGAGGGCCTACTTGTGGCCAGTACTATATAATACATAATTATATAATATTAAATAAGTATTATACAGTACTTATTTATTATTATATATCTTATATCAAAACAAGCATTTTTTAAGGCAAGCAGCACTTTATTTTTGTAATTTTCATCGAAGATAGAAAAGTGCATTGAATAATTTAGGTTTTGCTGAATGGATGAATGAAAAAGTGAATGGATGAGTGATTATTATATAACAGGACACAGGACAGTTTTTCTGCCCTAAAAGTCCTCTTTGCCCTGCCTATTCAAAAGAAATAGTCAGTGACCAGAGTCACTCACTACTGAGGAGTGAAGAAGTGATAATGTCTATCTGTATCAAAAACTATCTAATACAGAATTTTATATTCAAGTACTTAGTATCAACTAATTTCAGGAGCAGAGTGTGCACCTCAACTGTACCCGATAGCCAATCAAAGTCATATGGAAGTCAGCTGGGTTTATACAATGCAAACCTGCTTTCCTTATAGTGTGTATCTACTAATAGGCAACCACCAAGTATCAACTCTGCCTTTATTCCCAGATATGTTTAACAGAGACAATTCACTTTTGAAAAAAGTAAATTATTCTTGTACTACTTAAAGATTTTAACACTTCAAATGTTTGCCTCCCACTTGTGGGAAAGAAAAATTATAATCTTCCCAGCATTATCAATAAGTGAAACACTGGAGTGATTGTTTCTGGCATATACACATTTGCCAGCTGATTCTGCAGCTAAATGTCAAAGAGGAATTTGTCAAGAAAAGAGACTTGCATATATTGAATCCACAGCATTTTCAAAATCAGTACATTTCTTACATGAAATAAGCAAAATATTTATGTATACAGGCTATGAGTCATTCACAAAATGATGGTGTTTTCCCCTAAATGGCCTTTAAATATCAATCAGAGGCTAAGATTTTCCTACTTAATAAATTATTATTTTATTGCAATGGCACGTGAAGCTCTTTCTTTGTAAAATGGAGAGAATTCTCTATTGTGCTATATATATATATTTGTGTGCTATATAATATATGTACATATACATATGCTATATTTTTAAGGCAGTCTATAGATTATGAACTATGGAATCAAGGAATGCTATTACTTGTTTGTTTTTGAAGAGTTTTCAGGGGCCTTACCAAACTTGTAACCTTAGTGTCAAACACATACACACAACACAACACACACACACACATAGACTTGCATACTACACATCAATTTACATTTCCCACTTGAGTCACCAGATTATTACTAAGTGTACTTTCCCCCCCTTTTTTTGGAAAGTAAATGGAAGCATGATAAATTAATAGGATTCCTTTTTCATAGGGTGTATACTTGAACAGCAACAATATATAAAGTTAAAGTAGATTATGATGCAAAAATTAAGCTGATGATTATATTGTAGCACCTACTATTTTTAGAGTAAAGTTTGGCTATGAACCTTACAGTCAATTATTATGCCAGGCAAAGATTTCCAGAATAAAATTTTGATGTTTGTTGAAATCAGGTCACTTGATATTCACAACGCTGTAATTAATTTTTACTTTAAAACATCGGTATGCTGTTTTTCAAATCCAGGAATCACAGAGTCAATTTTACTTTCCTGAGCATAGGAGATTAGAGGAAGCTTACCTTTTCTCATCAGTAGGGTCAAAAAATACATTCCCTTACAAATTTTGCAAAATGCCATCAATCAGTGGGATAATTTTTAAATGTGAAGAGCTAGTCTCACACCCATTGATCCAAATTTTGAATTTATTTTGGAACATTAATGACTTTCCATGACCTTCCTGACATAGTTGTAAAGCAAATTTTATGCACATTTTTCTTAAATGTATGAAAAACAAGGAGTCTCATATCTTCATAAGGAGCTCCTATAGAATATCATTAGTAATAAAAAAAAAACAGCACATTATGGCTTTGGTTTAATCTTAAAACTCCCTGAAATTAAGAATGTATAACTTAAAATGGAACAAAAAATCATTGCCTGGAAAGCACAATTTAGCATTTAATGAAGAAAACATATCAAATTAGATTGAAGAAATCATCACATATGGTGTTCTTTGAAGTAAATAGAAACCCTTTTCATTACTCATTACTTACCCACTCTCCCTGTCAATGCAAAAGCGACTTACAATTTTACTATTTTTGAAATCAAGTTAATGATTTCAATAATATTTGCTGGTATTAAAACTTTTTTAAAGAATACAACAAAATTAGGAAAAATAATATGAAAGTAAAAGTTTCCAGAGAAGGCAGTTTAGGAGGAAAAAAAATTATAGTACTTTCATATTCAGTTACTATTTATAAATCTTTAATTCAATAAATTATATAAACTGAAAATTCAGAGTGACCTTTTCCAGCCTCTTCATATTACAAATGTGAATCAATTAAAGTTTTTAAAAACTAATTTTAAAATAAAATGTAATGTTTCCAGAGAAAAAAAGACTATGAAAATATAATAAATGGCCCTAATTATCTGCAAAAGATTTTACGTTTTTTTTCTCTAATTTCCTTTTGGGAGTTCACAAATTGTTTTATCCTATGAAATATGACTTCTGAAATGCAAGCAATGATGTTTTTGGGGGGAACTTTTTGTGACACCGAATGGGATAAGACAGTGAGGCGGCCATGTTTCTAATGTAGGCAGAGATCAATTTCTGTATCTTGGGTTTGATACTGTGTCCTGTTGAGTAGAACTGACAGGAGTAGGAGCAATCAATTACCCCTTAGTACATTGAATGGAATATGGGGAAAGCAGAAAGCTTATAGAGAGAACCCTAATGAATCAGAGAAAATGGAGCTTAGTGATGATGGTGCTCATTGTGTAATACCTACCACACCTGTCCTCAACAAACTCTTCTTCTCACCACTACCTTCCTGAACCTCTGCTTAATCATTGATTCTCCCCTGGTATGCAGATTTAGACAAATCTCCTTAAATAATGGATGAAAGAACTTCAACTTTGGTGCTGACAAATCAGGAAATAAATTCCAATTCTACCACTTAAGATCTGTGTAACCCAGTCCAAACCAGCCCTCAGCAATTTTGAAGATTAAAGAAATCATCATTTTGGAAAGTACCTGAAGTATCTTTTGTAAAATGCGGATTGAATCCTTTGCAGTAATGGACTAAACTCCTGTTCAGAGAAGGAACATTCAGTACTCAGGGCAGATTTTTGTTACAAGAAACTGTAAATTAACACACCCACATGATTTCTTGGGCACTTAGAGGAAGTTTGAGATCTTGGATTAAATTTCAGCCTGAAAGGGTTTCTAGTTGAGTGAATGTGGGAAAAACTAAAAATGCAAAGAACAAAACGTGATGGGAAAGACTCTAATCCCCAGTTCTAAAAAAAAAAAAAAAATTTCAGGATCAGCAGGGGCAAAGCTGCTGCTTTTTTCTGGATAGGGCACATATATGGCAAATTGTACCTTCCTCTTCAGAAGCCAGAACATAATGCAACACTGGCTGAGGAGTGCCCAAGTATTGTTTTAGGAGAGTTTCTCTCACCTCAAGGTAGTTGTGTTCTATACCTGACATTGGGAAAGGATCCTGAATGTTATACCAAAACGTTTTATAAATATACTTGATAGTAATATGGTCCTGAAGTAATCCTAGAGCACGTAAAGAAACTGTGCAGTCAACCACCATCAGGAATGAAAAGTACACAGGTCTCCCAGGTTTTGAGTTCCAACACCAAAACCCATAGCTAGAAAAGTGCTACACTGTTCATCACCACAGCTTTCTTCCTGCCTAACTTTTGGAAACATACTTAAGAGAATATCTAAGGATGTATATACTGAGCTCTGAAAATCCAGAAAAAAAGAATATTACTATATTTCATAGATTGCTCTTCTGAAACAAATCTTCCTGTCCATGACATATCTTAACCATGGAGAAATTCTAAGAAAGTACTGGAAACTTAGTAGTTTAAGGTAGCTCTTAGTCTGTGACACCCAGTCAGTTGATTAATTTTACATGTATACAGCTAGGATTTTATGTAGCCCTCTTATCAGCCCTCAAATCATCACAAACTTTGCAGCTTAAAATACCCATGCATTAACTCATAGTTTTTCTGTAGGTCAAAAATTGGCATGGAATGAGTAGGTCTTCTGTCTAGTATTTCACTGGGCTGAAATAAAAATGCTGGTCAGGGCTGTGTCCTCATCAGGTGTCTAAAGTGGGGAAGGCTGTAACCCCAAGCTCTCTCAATTTGTTGACATAATATTTCTTTTCCTCATAGTTGTAGGAAGCATGTTTTTTTATTTTGGCTTAATTTTTTTTTTATTTGTGCATGTTTATGGGGAACATGAGAAATTTTGTCACATCTATATACTGCATAGTGGCCAAGTCACGATATTTACAGTCCCCATCACCTGAGCACAATAAATTTTTGTCAAGTATAGTCATCCTACTTTGCTATCAAACACTAAATTGATTCCTTCTATCTTACTGTATGTTTGTACCTGTTATCCCACTTATCTTCATCCTCCTCTACTTCTTCTCTCTCTTCCCAGTCTCTGCTATCTATTTAGGAACCATTTTAATGTTGTCTTGAAGCTCATTATCTTAGGGCCACTCTCAGCCTCCAGGACCTACTGTCAGGTTCTTCCCATGTGGCTGTCTCCACTGGGCCTCTCACACTTACAATTTTTCTCACCAGGAAGAGTTAAATTCTTGTTTAGGGCACATCTGTTTGGGTCAGACCCACCCACAATATTTCCCTGTCAAAAATCAACTAATTTGTGACATCAATTATGTCTGCAAAGTCCCTTCATGACAACACCTAGATTGAATAACTGGGAGAGAAGAAGATTTGTGTGCAACAGAGGGCAGGAATCTTGGAGGTCATCCTAGAATCTGCCTAACAGATTGTTGCTAATGTTTTTAGAATATATGAATGCATTCAGTTACTCTATATGCCCAATAATTATAAAAATAAATACATTCATGACAGAAGATTGGCTACTTCATCTTCCACAATGCCAAGATAGAAGTAAATAATAAGTGCTCTAAGGGCAGTATTTTTTTCCCAAATCCTTCTATTTAGGGATAATAAGAGAACAAAGAGGTTTTGCAGTTTGATTCTACCTTTTATATTTTTAAAAAGTAATTCTCAGTCACCGATACAAATAATTTTTTTTTCGCCTTTCACAGTTTTTTTTTCAAACTGCTGACTGGGGAGGAAACAAAAAAAATTTGATCACTTGTCATTTTACATGCATGTAAAATTTGAATGCTAAATTGAAATACAAGTGCTAACACTGGATAAAGTTTGAATCCCACAAAATATTTCCATATATTAAGCTATTTGAGGAAATAATATTTCTGAAAAGTGAGTGTTAAGTTTTGTTTAAAGTAGTATTCATGATTCAAAATAAATCTGAAACAATATAAGTAATCTTACGGGATTTGAAAGCATCAAAGATAAATGGCTGTTAGTTTCTTGTTTTTGTCAGTTTTCAGTTGGCTTCCTTTCAATTATTCCATTGGTTTGGATTTAAAGGCTCTAAATATGGCATGCCTCCAAACTGATGAACTATACCAGAGCACATAATATAACTTTATCTTAGCTGAAAATGTTGTACATCTGTACAAAATTTATATTTTGATTTTTTTTATATGCTTAGAATAGCTTTAGTTTTATGATTATGCTATGTAAGGTTAGGGAAACTTGATAAAGTTTAGTCTTAGGATGACCCAAATAAAGGAGATTTTTTTTTGTTGTTGTTTTAAGATGGAGTCTTGCTCTGTTGCTCAGGCTGGAGTGCAGTGGTGCCAACTCGGCTCACTGCAACCTCCGCCTCCCAGGTTCAAGCAATTCCTCTGCCTCAGCATTCCGAGTAGCTAGAATTATAGGCGCATGCCACCATGCCCAGCTAATTTTTTGTATTTTTAGTAGAGACAGGTTTCACCATGTTATCCAGGATGGTCTCAATCTCCTGACCGTCATCCGCCCGC